GACTAAAAATATGGCCGAGTCATAAACAAATTTTTCGATGCAAATCTGTTTTAGCTCCTGGTTTTTGACAGCACAACATGTGTACAAGCATATACACCACACACGCACAGATACGTCAACTTAACACAAGCTGGAATCCTTGGAAGAGGGAACCTCAATTAAGAAAATGTTCCCATCAGATTCATCTACAAGCAAACCTTGAGTCGTTTTCCTGATTAATGACTGATGTCAGTGTGGTGCTATCCCTAGGCCTGTGGTCTTAGTATAATAATAAAACAAGTTGGGTTAGTAAGCCAGTAAGCACAATTCCTCCAGAGCATCTTCTTTTCTGCCTCCAGGTTCCCTGCCCTGCTTGGGTTTCAACCCTGGCTGCTTCCCTGATGGACTTTGATGTAAAACTGAAGGATAAAATAAACCCTTTCCTCCCCAGATTGATTTCAATCATGGTGTTTTATCAAAGCAACAGAAGTCACAAAGACACAGAGAGAGAGAGACAGACAGAGACAGAGAGACAGAGAGAGAGAGAGAAAGAGAGAGAGGGGTTTTTTTCATTAAAAAAGAAAGATACTTCTGCTAGAAAATTTCATCTAGAAGAAAGGTATGTGAGTGTGTGTGTGGGGGGAGGGGAATTGGGGTGGGGTGGAAGTAGATGTGTTTAGGTCCTTCCACATCTTTCAGCTACCCTGGGTCAGTAATTTATGCATTTCTTAATTTCTGCACCTGTAAAAGGAAATCATCATCACTTACCTCTTTGTAATATTTTGCCCGAAAAGATTCAGAATAAAAGATGCCAGGGTGTACGTGATAGCCACCATTTTACTTATGAAATGAAAACACTTGCATGTGGGGACATGTATCCCAGAAGGGGAAGAGGAGGCAGAAAACTCTAGAACTGGGCTCTTGTGAATCTCAAATATTTGAACATGTGGTTTTGAAATAACAATCTTTGTCTTGCCTTCAAGGTTCAGAGACTTTTCTAAATGGACCCATTAAATATAAGCAAAGCACACACAGTATCAAATATTTTGCATAATTTTCCAATCTCTTCAGTTTTAGCCAATACACCTCCTATTATGAATAAATTTATCATCTGGAGCCAGAGAAGCAGGGAGCAGCTACATAAGGAGAAAATCAGCATCATAATATATGCTCTTGGAAGGGTTCTGCATGCTCCACATTTTTTAGCCTTGGAAAGAACAAAGGGCTCAGGGGCTGCACTCATTGACTACCCAGCCTCAACTTGTTCTGTGCACTTAAGACCTGACCTTCCTAGAGCAAATGAACCAGGTTTCTTTGCCTTCCATTTCTGGTTAAGTGTGCAAAATAAGAAGCACCAAAGCCGGGCGGTGGTGGCGCACGCCTTTAATCCCAGCACTCGGGAGGCAGAGGCAGGCGGATCTCTGTGAGTTCGAGACCAGCCTGGTCTACAAGAGCTAGTTCCAGGACAGGCTCCAAAGCCACAGAGAAACCCTGTCTCGAAAAACCAAAAAAAAAAAAAAAGAAGCACCAATAGGATCTCAGAACCAGTATCCCTGCTTTGGCTCAAGGTGTGATTGCTTCCTTCATGTGCTGGTACTGAAGCACCCATTCGATGGGCCTTTAATCTTCTCTGCACAATTTCCCTAATTCTATCTTCTGCTTTGGTTCTCCTTAAGCTCTTGTCACTCTTTAGTATACAATGTAGTATACCTGTCAACACCTAACCTCACAGGGACCCTTGGAGACTAAAAAGTATGGCATACTTTTCGGTCCATATAAGTATTTGCTGACCTTCAAAGGGAGGACACTAGAAAAAAGTCAAGAATGTTCATATCATTTATAAGCATTAGGATGGTACTTTCTATGGAAACCTTGTACCTCCATTTTTCATACAAAATACATTGATTAGTATATCTTCAATCTCTGCAGCCTGGATCTACAGGTAATCTAATATCAGAGATGTGAATGGGGATTCATTCCTGACAACTAAGCAGTGAATGGGTGACCTTCAGTACAGAATCTGTAAGATGGATTCAGAACTAGAAAGCACAAGATTTTTTTTTTCCAGGTTCAGCGTACTACAAATAAAACCACTATGAACATAATTGAGCCAGTGCTCTTATGGCATGATTGAGGATCACTGGAGTATATGCCCAATAGTAGCACAACTGGACACTGTGGTAGATCAATTCCCAATTTTCTGTGAAGTGCCATATTGATTTCCAAAGCAGATATACAAGTACTTTTACCAGCAATGAAGAATATACCCCTTATTCATCCTCTCCAGCATGAGCTGTCACTTGTGTTTTTGATATCAGTATTCTGAAATATGTAAGGTGGAATCTCAGAGTCCTTTTGATTTGCATTAACCTGATGGCTAAAGATGTTGAATGTTTCCTTAGTTCTCAGCTATTTGAGCTTCTTCTGTTGAAGAATCTTTGTTCAGATCTATACCCCATTTTTATTGGATTATTTGGGTTTGTTGATGTCTGGTTTCCTGAGTTCTTTATATATTCTGGAAAATAGCCTTCTTTGGGATGAAGAGATGGTGAAGATCTTTTCCTATTCTATGGGTTGACCTACTGACAGTGAGTATCCTTTGCTTTATACAAACTTTCAAGTTTCATCAGGTCCCTCCCATTTATTGTCGATCTTAATGTCTGCCCTATTCAAACATTACCTCCTGTTCTATGTGTGTTCAAGGATATTCCCCACCTTCTCTTCTATCAAGTTCAGTGTCTCTGGATTTATATTGAAGTCTATGAACCACTTGGACTTGAGTTTTGTGCAAGGTGATAGATTAATATCTATTTGCATTATTCAACATGTCAACAGCCCATTATACCACCACCATTTGTTAATGATTCTTTCTTTTTTCCATTGTCTAATTTTGACTTCTTTGTTGAAAATCAGGTGTCCATAGGTGTGTGTATTTAAGTCTGGATCTTTCATTCCATTTCACTAATCTACCTATTAGAAAAGCAAATGAATCAAAACTACCTCTCAGTAGCAAATCAAAATACTGGAAAGTAATGGTCAGAATATTAAAGAGATAAATCAGTATACTACTTTGTGTTCCAAACAGTGATGTTGTGCCTTCAGAAATGATTTCCAAATAGTTCCTCATTTCTTGCAATCACCCGGACATATACATACACACACACACATATTTTAAATACGCACATTCATGTGTTACTCCCACAAACTCCTCACATACTGGATAAGGTGTCTGGATAGGCATTTTGGTATATAGCAATCTTATGCGCAATCAAATTTGTGAATAATAAACAGGGCAGAGAGAATGTTCATAAGTAACAGCAGTAACATAGCTTCAAAGTGTTAGTTCATTTCCCTTGTATTTCTGGCTCCCTTGCAGTTTATAGCTAAGGAAGCCTTGAGACTAAGTTCTGTCAAAAAGATCTAAAAGGAATTGAGGTATCTCAATGAAGAACTGTCTGGATTGTATTGGCCTATATGAATTACTAAGGGTTTTTTTTTTCCCCCCCCCGAGACAGGGTTTCTCTGTGGTTTTGGAGCCTGTCCTGGAACTACTAAGGGGTTTTCTTAATTGAGATGGAAAGACCCATCTTGAATGCAGTAGACCCCATTTCATGTACTGGGTGAAAAGGAGAAAAAACATAAGAACCATACATTATCTCTGCTTTTGACTGTGGATATATGTAACTGTATCAAGTTCCTGGCACCTTGTTTTCTCCATTTATAGACTGTGACCTGTGAGCCAAAGAAATACTTTCTCTTATAGCTGCTTTGGTCAGGCTAATTTTTTTTTTTTAAATAACAGCAACAGAAACAAACAGAATAGCCAACTTCTAGATACCTCCACTAGGGCATGTTTCAATTAGACTTGTAATCCTCTCATTTTCATTTCTTGTTTAAGTTCTCCTCTCTTGATATTAGATTTCTATACAAGTCCATCTTCATCTTCATCACTTAATAAGCCGTCCTGCCATGTGACATACAGATGGTACTGCCAATATCATTAATAAATCCATTCATGGAGCAGATGCTATAGCTTAAACTTAAAATGAAGAGCTATGACTTCAGTGTGGATAAAGCTTAATGTTATTTATTCTAGGAAACAACAAAAGAAAACCCAGCCAGTATCATCTGTACTTAGCTAAAAAAGAATACTACTTACTTTAACTAAAAGCACACTAAGTGTCTTTGGCATTAGCCATCACTTTAATAGCCTCCAAAATTTCATAAAAATCAGCCTTAGATGTTCACTGCTGAGGCACCCATGAGTTCCAAGAAGTTAGGCAAAGTGCTCAAGTACTCAAATCAGAAACTACCACGGCTGAGTTCTTATTCACCCTTGCTGTTAGCAAGCACTTGCCTAACTCACCTACACAGTAAGAACCAGAAGAAGCAGGAAATGTGTGTGTGTGTGTGTGTGCGTGCGCGCGCGTGTGGTAAAAAGGAGGTTGAGTCTGCCAGTCACATTACAGAAAGATGGATAAGAATTGCAAGATTTCAACGGATAACTAAGAAAGGAAGTACATTCCAGGAAGAAAATAGTACTGAGATATGAAACCTCAAAGAGTGGCTTTTGATAGGCAATAGCACTCTAGTTCTGAATTGCAGAGACTGTTCATACACAGAAAAGAGAATGGGGCCAAAGTAACTAACTACATAATGCAACTATATCTCTGGGTGAGCCATTCTACACTGTAAAGAACTGAGTTCCCAGGATGAAGACAGGGTGTTAAAACCTGAGTATTTCCTAATGAAACACAAAGAAACCAGAGACCGGTTGCATCCATTATGCTTCTGTGGAGTAGGCCTTCTTATCCCTGTTTATCAGATGGAGAAACTGAGACACATGAGATTAAGAGTCTTTGTGGCCATTCAGCGAAGTTTTGTGATCAATCTGGTTTTGCTCTGAATTAAGAAATCCACCTCTTTGCAGGGCCCTGGTAATGTGTCCAGGGGGCATTTGCAGGGACAAACAGTAACACCGACTCTGAGTAGCCACTTCCCCCAATGCCTGTGCTCCTCACCTCACACTTCTCCACGACTGGCTGCTGTCCACACTCAGAGCTGTTGCCTGCCACGATGCCAGCCCGCAGGTTCTCACTGTCACCTGTTCCCTCTTCCATGGAGTAGGTCTTGGAGTGGTTCCCACGGCGTTGAGCAGGGCCCTGACCCTGGGCCAGGCTGAGCTGCCTGCGCAGTGAACGGTTTTCCTCCTCCACCTCTCGGACACGAACCTCCAGGCTCTCCCGCTCCCGCTGACTTGAGGCAGTGTACCTGGGACTGTGGGCTTGGGACTCCAGGGGAGACAGAGACACGGGCTTCCCATCTAGCGGAGGAGAGACCAAAAAAGCATCAGCTTAGCAAACTTACCTCCAGGAACCCCAGCATTACCTCCCCAGGCTCTTGACACAATCCCACTCTTTAGCAGGAAAGCAGTTGGACTGTGAATGATAATTTAGTACATATTAAAATGGGAAAACAGTGAGAACAGGGTGGTGTATTACGGTAATAAAAATAAGACTGATTAGAGAAAGACACTCTTAATACTGTTCCTACTTAAACACAATGCCTTCTCCTCCATAAGACATATTTGAAAATGAACATTCTTAACAAGAAGTCACATAACATGTATGAATAAGGAGGAATGGAAAGTCTGAGATGTGGGAGCTTGAGAATGTAGAAGAGCTCAAAAGGAAAAAGAGGGAATAAAGTGAAGTTCTTAAGTGAACACCTAAAGTCATCTTCCAAACCCTGTTTTGAAAGCATCACTTCCCAAGGAAAGCCTCCTCTGCCTGTATAAAGCTACTTATAAGTATATGATCTCAAGGCTGACTGATTGGGTTTCTGTTTTAATATTTACAATTCAAAAAAACCACCACTTTGCAAAGCCAATTAGCATATATCTATATATGTGTGTGTACTCGCATATATGTGTGTGTGTACTAATATATATATTGATATACATATATATATATATACCAATGCATGCTATTAGTAATTCCAGAGACACAAGGCTGCCATTCCTTTTTGTTTGATCCAGCCTGAGTGCAGCTGTCTCAGTGGCTTCCATCTCCCTAACTGGCTAAAACGCACTTCTGTTTGTCCACAACCCAAGTTGTCTTGCTTGCAGCCTAGTCCAGGCTGAGATCCCAAACTGTACCATCAAGGTATGAATCACACACACTGTGTGTTTCACCTGTGCTGCCCATGCTGCATGGGATTTGTCTCTGTCAAGGACATTTGATGTCCTTACAGATAACTGCTATTTTATTTAACCCAAATTCACTTTAGGGTTAGCTGTATACGCTCCCAAGCCTATCAGTGCAAGAAGTAAGGCTTACAGAATTGCACTGCCATGAATTACAAATCAAAGGTTGAGGCAGAATCTGCAGAGGACATAAAATCACAGACGGATGAGAAGTGCACTAAAACTGGGCTAGTTACTTACAAGCCCCTGTAGCAGCGTGAATAAATGCAGGCAGATATTAAAGAATATATACAACTTTAATGATTAAATAAACTTACAGAACCGAGGTTCCCGCGTAGCACAGGAGGTAGGAAAGAAAGGGCCAATCCGCCTCCCGCCCGATTTATCCGTCTGCATTCGACTGAGGCAAACCCGCCCCTTAAAGGGGCTGGCTTAACCCTACAAGCCCCCTCCCCAGCTTTTTAAATCAGCCTCCATGTTTGGGTCCACCAAGAGAATTAAACAATACAGGACAGGACTATGTTCCATGAAGAGAATGTTTGCCTGACAAGTGTGAGGCCTTAGCCTCCTTAGATGCACCTGACCTTGATGAATACCTGTATCCCAGCACTTAGGAGGGTCAAAAGGTCAAGGTCATGCTCAGATACACATAGTTTGAGCTCCCATCTTTAAAGTGGGGGGAAGATGGGTAGAAGTGAATGTGGACCTTGGAGAAGGGTAGATAAAGGTGAACATCTTGCAGGTAAGAGAAGGCAGACACCCAAGTATGCAGAGAATAATAACAGGGGTTTCTTGCACACTCTATCCTAAACACACAGTGCCTTAATTATCGGAGGACAAGGTAGTCACTATGCCTGTATAGACAAGGAGACTGACACTATTAAAATTCACAGCAGGAAGGAAATAAACTCTCCTTGATGTCACACCTGTCTATGACCCCACATAAGGGGCTGAGTTAAAGGTCTCTGGGCTATTTCTTTCATGAAAGAATTAGGAACACAGCAAGCTTTGAGGACCCAAGTTCCTGAGGAACTCTAGAAACTTATCAGCAGGACCTAGCAGTTTACTTCAATGCTCTATCTTCTAATCCCTTCTGTGAAACAAAAATATAAATGGTGGCATAGCAACAAGGTTGCAGGCTTGAGGTCTAAACAACAACAACAAAAGGGCTATGCCTCCTCCTAAAAGGCACCTGCCAGATAGGGATTCCTATAACCCTTATCTCAAAGAGGGTAATATAGAGTTGTAGACAGAATTTAACCTGTTAATAACAGCAGATGTTCTGAGCACAGGACTGCAATGTATAAGCAGGTAGCCACAAGCTTTGGCTTCCTCTGACATAATTTTCACACAGGACATCTCCCATCATTTTGCACCTGGCCTTTACTATGCCAAGGTTCACACATAGGAAAACACAGAAGGCAGGTCCAGTATCAGGTTCCTTTCCTATCCTCTTGCTCCTTTCCTCACAGCCCACAAGCCTGTTTATGAAAATTGCAAGCTTTAATGACGTGCTTATAGAAAAATCACATTCCTGTTGAATCCGTTTCCAGCCTGTTCTGGGCCATATTTGGTTTTAATTAGTTCTCAAGCATTTGCAGAAGTTTTCTTGCTTTTCAGGACTCTACATATTTGTCACCTATAAATACATAGAAAAAAATGACACCTAAAAGGACAAAAAATCATATTGTGCCAGAGCCTGGAATAGAAAATGTGCCAATAGTGGACATGAGTGTCCTTTCTAGTCTGTTTTGAAGCCACGTCACATTGCCCAAGGCCCTGACATTTCCAACAAGTTTCTTCTTTTGAAAACGGGGGAAGCTGGGTGTGGGGTCTCACACCTTTAATTCCAGCACATACATGGCAGATCTCCAATAGTTTGAGACCAGCCTGGTCTACATAGCGAGTTATAGAATGGACAAAGATACGTACTAAGAAACAAGCAAGAAACAACAAAAAAGAAAGGGAAGGAAGGAAGGAAAGAAGGAAGGAAGGAAGGAAGGAAGGAAAGAAGAGGAGGGAAAGACAAAAAAAGGAAATGCAGACTCCCTCTAAGCTCTGGCTTCCTGTGCAGAGAAACCCTGCAGAAACCTGGCTGTGTAATCCTGTCACTGAGCAACTAGATGTGAGGGCTAGGAGGCACCATTGCTTTGCCATGTTGACAGTCTGCTCCCTTTTATTTGGATTATTTTATTTGTTCCTGATGTGCTGATTCCTACCTTTGTTCCGTGGGATTCACCAAAACCCTTTAGTGGGAGGTAATAAGAGTAAAGAGCAAGTCGGAGCCTTGTAGTCATAACCTCTTGCAATATGTCTTATGAGTCAGATTCTATAATTAACCCTCCCGGGATTAGATTCCATGGTCTAACTAAACTGCGATCACTCCATGTTTTCTTAAGCTATCAGTTGTAAGGACCCAGCAATTACCCCTGCCATCATACAAGTACAAAGTCTTGTCCTAACACCTTTGGCTGGTATACAGCTGCCACATATGCAACTCCTTCTCTACCTAAAGAAGTCAGTGTACACCATGCTCAACAGGATGAGTCTACAGATCACAGACTTGCTGTGTCCATGAAGTATAACTTTTTCTTTGCGAGTTTCTAATTGCCTAGTCTCAAGTTCGTTCACATATATTTGTAGTAAACTAATACCTGCCTGTATACTTTGATGGTCAGTTTTACATGTCAAATTAACTGGGTCATGAGGTTCCTAGACATTTGGTGTTTCAATGGTTGCATTTTTTTAAGATGACATATGCATTTGTATCAGTCTAATGAATAAAGAAGAACTCCTTCTCTAGGGTGCATGAGCCTCATCCAAACAGTAAAAGAGTGTGGGGACTGGATGGAGTAGAAAAATCAACTATTTCTCTGAGGAACAGAAGTCCTTCTTGCCTGACCACTATTGTACCTGGACTTCAGATTTCTCCTGCTTACACACTCAACAGAAGGAACTAAAGCACTTGCACTGTCAGGTCTCTAGGCTGCTGGCATATGGGCTAGACTGATCACTGCCTCTGCTTGACCACAGGCCTCCAGACTGCAATGGCCGCTATGTAGGTACTCTCATGTATGTGTGTCAGTGAAAATACCCATACATGGTTATGCTTCTCTGGAGGCCCTTGACTGATAAAATGACCATAATGATCTACAGTCCAACCATGGAGGACACTGTCTGATACCAGTTTCTTTGGCTGCACTTAACAGGGATGTGAAGAAGAGATAGAGGGAAGAGTTTGTAACCACTAGAGATAAAATATTTAAAAAAGCTATGAAAAATACAAACCTAATAAATCTCAAACAACCAGTTATTTAATGAGAGACTATAATAGTTCATGTTAAAGTAAGAGGGAGAGAGAACCAAGGCCACTAGAAAAAAAATCAAAGGAAGTGGAGAACAATGGGAATTAAGAATAACTAAGCTTAAACTATGACCTTCTATTTACTACTGAACAGACTTAAGCAAAGTACTGCATTTTTCTGTAACTCAATGTGTCCATATGTAAATGCTGAGACAGAACTGTGGCTATGTGTACTTATTAACCAGCACTGAGACTCAGCTGAGATTATGTAATGTTTTTCTTCATTCTTCCTCCAGCCCCATCCTTAACCCTAACTTTGTTCTCTGTTACAGTCTATTTATGAACTCAGTGCTTCTTTCTATGATAAAGTATATGCACATGTGTTAATCTAGTTCAGCCCACTATGAGTTAGAAATGTCAACCAAGACATTATTCAAAACCTCAGTTGATAACTGTTTTCTCCTCCTTCCATAAATTCTGAACAAGCAAGAACTTTATCATTGGATTTGAAAATCTTTGAATCCACTCGAGATGAATGCTCTGAATAAAGAAGTAAAACATCTAAGATTCAGAACAAAGCAATCTTTGTGTGGTGTTATGACAGGGATTAGAGACCTGTTGTCCACAATGTCCTAAATGATAATCAATTTGTATGTGTTGACTATCCTGCAATCTTGATCGATGGCTTTCATGTCACTTGGTATAGGATCAGTCACTCACTTATAAATGGACACAGTTGCAATATTCATTTCCAGATTGAGCCAGACTTGGTTGTGCCTTTGGCTCTTCTAGTCAGACCTTAAATATAGGTACC